GTGTGTGTGTGTGTGTGTGTGTGTGTGTGTGTGTGTGTGTGTGTGTGTGTGTGTGTGTGTGTGTGTGTGTGTGCATGGAAGAGTGTGTGTGTCCTTGAGATACCCACTCCAGCACACATACACACAGCTGTTTGTCCTTTCCTCTACCTTTGCATGTAAATCGTCCTGTTTGCATGCCCAGTAGTCTTCTCCCTCCCAGACCCAGACCTGTAGTCAAATAAAAGCCTCCACAACAAGCTGCTCTCTCCCATTAAAACAGATGGCTGAACACAAATTGACTCGCCGCCTGTATATTAACCATTGAACCACAGTTGCTTTAAAACGCATGTTCTTTACTCAAAGTAAATGGGGAGGCTACTGTTGTCGGTCACAGGAATTTGCACTACTATTATTTTTTTGTTTGTTTTAATCGTCTTTCACAAAGCTGCTCAAGCGCCCATGCAAATAAGGCTGGCTGATAAAAGTGTCTGTTTACTGAGGCAAATGGGTAATCTTATCAATATTAAATGAGCCTTCTTTCTGAGCTCAGTGTATTTTGGTTCCTATGAAAAGACTCATCCCGAGATAAACTGAACTGTAAAACAATAGCTCCGTATAAAGAAGGTCACGATGTCAAAAGCAGATCCCCTCCCCATTTTTCTCAAGGTTCTTTCCAGGTTAGGTTGTTCCAGGTGCCTTAGAGAATTTGCCACATTTTTTTCTGCTGATTTATGCTGTCTTAGTTGCATATTCCTCTTCATATAATCCCAGACTGACTCCATGATGCTAAGATCAGGGCTCTGTGTCTACCATGCCATCTGTCGCAAGACTCCTTGTTCTTCTAGCTCAAAACAGTCTGTTATGAGGCTTTAAGTATGTTTGGTGCTGTTGTAATGCTGCACAATAAATGCTGGTCTGATCTGATGCATTGACTGATGTACACAGTCCTAAATATCTAAAGCACCTAAAATTTTGCACAGGGCTAGCAAATGTCCTCATTTCACAACTTATAAGGGGGCTTACATTTAGAGGTTCAGATGCATGTCTGTTTCCCTGCTTCGTGCATACCAGCAAAAAAGAGGGTTTTGTGCATTTGTAGTTCAAACATGGGGCACGAAACACTTTGCATATGAAGCGAGAATGAAAATTCTGCCAGCTTTGCATTGACCACATGTACTTCTAAGAAGCTTTCCGTCTGTAGAGCCAGCGGTGAGTGAGTCATAATGGATTTATCGTTAAAGCGACCTAATATCTGGGTAATCATTTGTTTACAGGGGACGCTGCAACCACAGACGCAATGCCTGCAATGTGGGGACACGCTGGAGTGGTCAGAGGAACATGGGTGTGTGTGTTTGTGTGCGCAGCACTCTGAAACAAGAGAAACTTTTTTTTTCTTCTACAGTAGAATTATCGGCTCTGACAGAAGCTTTTTTCTCAAACGAGTGTTCAGAAGCATTCGTGATGAGGACGTCATCATCAGAGCAGCTGAAAAGGCCAACGCTTAGGAGGCCTCACGGGCAAGAGTGCCACAGGATGAAACCATTTGCACTGGACTAACAAACATTAACTAAATCCAAGTACAGTTTTCTATTTAAATTATTCATGAGAGCCGGTCCATTCCTGGCTGTGGAGAAATGAATGCTTTCTCCGATATTAAATAAGAAGAAAAGCACAGAGCTACATTTTTCATTTAGCTAATACTGGACGAAGCAGATAAACCATAAAGCATTTAAATCATCTAAATGAGTTCATTTAATGAAATAACCTCCCAATTTTTTATTCCATCTATGCATCTTGATCAAATTAAAAAAAAATGGTACTGCAGGAAGCTTCAACCCTGTCTGGAAATATTAGGCTTTTACTCAAGTGAAAATTAAAGTGAGAGTTAATGGAATAGCATTAATTACTGATTTCAGTCCACTTATGTTAAAAAAAAAAAAAAGGAAAAATGCTATGGGTGGCTGTAGCTCAGGTGGTAGAGCAGGTCACCTCGGAAGGTTGGTGGTTCGATTCCTGGCTTCCCCTAGTCTGCATGCCAAATATCCTTGGGCAAGATACTAACCCCAAATTGCTCTCCGATGCATCCATCGGAGTATGAATGTGTGTGAATGTTAGCTAAAGAAAAAAAAAAAGCACTTAGACAAATGTGCTTGTGTAAATGGGTGAATGCACAAGTTGTATAAAGCGCTTTGAGTGCTCAGAAGAGTAGAAAAGCACTATATAAGAACCAGTCCATTTACCATATGGGAAAGAAAACAAAAAGAGTGTATGTTAGGGATATTTAAAAGATCGTTAATAATCAATTCAATGTACAAAAAAATAGAAATGAGTGTGGTACATATGGAGAATTTCCATAATATAATATTATGTCTGATCAGAATCGGAATCATCGTTATTTGGCAAAGTTTGTGCATACAAACATGGAATGCATACAAAAAGAAAGAAAGAAATAGGCAATATATATAAATATGCAAATATACACAAGAAAAACACAAGTTGCAGAAAGTCTTTAGAAACTATACAAAATGCAGCAAACTACAAATAGGCAGCAATGATAAATATAAATAGGCTGAACACAGTGCAACCTGGATGAATCTTAGATATGAATTTTAATAGTGCTTTAATGTCAACGTTAAGGTGTTTTTGTTGAACTTTGACAAGCTTTTTTTTATATTAAAAAAATACATAAACACACACGGTAATAAGAAGCAAACCAAATCAGCAAAGAGAACAGTGTAACAGCCTTGGCAGGTGAAATTAACTGTCCTTTTGTAATTGCAACAGCACAGAAAAGTGTTGCTGCATGTTTATGAGGAGCTTTGTGGGCAGGATAGTCTAGATAAAAATTGAATCTGATTCTTTTTCATACCTTTTCTGTGCTGCAGAAGACTGATGCATATAACAATTTCACACTTTTTTGCTGTCAGTGTCCTGCTGGGCTGTTCCTGCTGCTCTACAGTAGATGAGACTCTAGAGAATGTAGCCAGAAGACTCGGCAGCAGAATGAAGAAAGAGAAGAGCCACTGGGCAGCTGGCAGAGTTGGTGACATTGACTTTCTCGGTCCGACTAAAACGAGAGGAAAGGTGAGACTGGATGTCATAACGAGTAAGGAAAGTAACATAACAAGAGTGTGCAGTTCAACTGGTATACTGACGCATCACTTTCCCCCTTGCCTTCAATCAGTTTGTGAGGGTGCGCAGCAACACAGACCCAGTGCTGATCTACCAGATGCTGACAGAAGAGTGGGGTCTTGCTCCTCCACACCTGGTGGTTGCAGTAGTGGGAGGAGATGAGGTGGCTCAGATGAGGCCCTGGCTTAGGGACACACTGAGAAAGGGACTTGTGAAGGCTGCACAAAGCACAGGTTATAATCAAGGGTACAAACTGGCCCTGGCTTTTGAAATCAAAGAAATGGAATCTTTTTAGGCTGCTATACTGGCAAGAGAGTGCCTTTTATTTGATATATAAAGTGTTGTTTTTTTCTGTGATATTATGTGGTTTTCATTAATAAATGACATGATTAATTTCAGAATAACTAGCTTTATGATTATATTGGCAGCTACAATAGTTTAATATGCAATCTTGGATCCAACCTTCCAGTTTGATACTCATCAGAATTACAACTTTGCAGAGAGATCATGTAAAATTAGACATCAAACGTTCAAAACCTCATATGTACATATACAACTGCATTGCTGTTCTCTAGGGGCATGGATTTTGACTAATGGCCTTCGCTTTGGCATCACCAAGCACTTAGGCCAGGCGGTACGAGATCACTCCTTGGCCAGCACCTCTTCTAAAGTTCGTGTTGTGGCCATTGGCATTGCTCCCTGGAACATGATCCACAACCGAGAGGCACTACTCACAGCCAAGGTTCCTGTTCACACAAAAGGCAGCACAAGGCCAATATTAGTATCCTCCGTGAACTAATATTTACATCTCTCGTGTTAATGTGTTGTCGCTGTCCTCTTTCCTGCTGAGTATCCCTTCATATTTTCTTAAGGTTGATGAACCCGCAGCATACAAGCCTCAAGACCTGCCCCATGGATCAGTGTATTCCCTGGACAGTCACCACTCTCACTTTGTTCTGGTTGAGGAAGATCCCAACAGACCTGGAGCCACCAGTGAAATGAGGGTGAAGCTGCTCAAGCATATCTCTCTTCAGCGCACAGGTTACGGAGGTAAAAATCTTTTAGGTCATTGCTGGGAACCAGTCTTTGACTTAAGCAGTATGCCGTATGTTAACGTTGCTTCATTAAAAGTTTATATCATTCCTTTACATGTACCTATGTAAAAATGACACTGGAATGTACTTACGAGAATTCATTGTGACAAATGGTAGCTTTTATGGATTTCAATTATGGATGCATTTTGGCATTGTTTCATTGTGGTGTTGCACATAGTACATGTGGCTGCTTCATATATAAATAGCTTCTTTTTTTAAAAAACCAAAAAAGGAAAAAAAAGGCATATTCATATTTTATGATGTTTATGAATTCTTGAATTACTTCACAAGCACAATAGCAGTGAATCTAATGGAGTCTATTTTTACCATTTTAATTGTAAATTAAAATTTTCATTGCAATTGTAAATTGTAAAGCATTTTGTGACTTTTGTTCTTGAAAAGAACGATATAAATAAGCCTTACTTAATTGCTTAATTACTACTTTTACTGCATATTCAAAAGTAGCCTGCTTCCATAAATAGTGTTTCAGTCATTTTCCTTTCCGGGTTTCCAAAGCTGTTCACATTTAATATCAGAGCAAAAATAGAAACAACATTTGGTTCAACTCTCCACAACTTAGAGACAAAGGGAACACATCACAGAGATGTTTTTACACACAGAGCATGCACAACCAATGTAGGTAACACTTCCTGTTAGTGAACCTCTTATATTTAACTTGCTTTAGCCTGCCCAGAGCTACTAATGCTACCCCTGTAAGCTTCTTTGCAACCCACCATCACCCCAGCTTCTCCTTTTTCTGCATTTCATTCTGTGAATATTCTTCTAGGTGCAGGAAGTTTTGAGATCCCTGTTCTGTGTCTCTTGGTCCACGGAGAACCCAGGATCCTAAAAGTAAGCTTTTCTTTTTTCATTGTGCTACATTAGCTTCTCAAGAACTTTAAAGGCGAAACCACGAAGAGACCCTCTGAAAGGCAGATTTGTTTTGTCATTCAAATGTGCACATTCTCAGTTTGAACGCTGGCTAAGGCTTGAAAATTAGGCTCTGAGTCAAATTTTGGTGGTGCCATCTCCTGAGGCAGCAGGCCAAAGCCAGACTGAGAAACAAATTCTTTCTGTTTTCACAAAACTAATCTCTTCAACCAAAAAGCCCATCAAAGTCACCAATGCATTTGCATAAATAGAGCCATTACTGAGGAGATTATAGACTACAGCTTACACTGAGAAATATAATTCTTGTTGATGTTTAGTTGGGAAGTTATCATCTTTAAAAAAAAAATCATATCAACTGAAAATTCATCAGAACACTGTGTCCCTTCTTGCAGAGAATGTATAAAGGCATTGGCAATTCGACACCATGGCTGATCCTGGCAGGCTCTGGAGGTGTGGCTGACATCCTTGTCACACTGATGAATAGGGGCTGCTGGGATACGGACAGTGTTCATGAGCTGCTGCTGGACACCTTTCCAAATGCCCACCACAGCACAGACATCAGTAACTGGGTCAAGCTGGTAAGAGCGATGTGCACAGCGTGGAGCAGGCACATATACAGATATGCACATCACAAGACTTGAACATTGGCAGAAAAATAGGGCACACTGGGGAAGATTGTGAAGGAAGCTAATGTAGGATTTTCATCATTATCGTCAACATTTGTATGTGATGACCTAATTAAGAACACAAGGAGGGAAGGCAAGACAACAATTTCGTAACATATTTTTTTCCGAGCTGATACACATAGTAAAGGTACTTTGTATACAACACATTAAATTCTCTTTAAATTGCGTCACTCAAATGATATTTCCATAATTACTGACTGTCGCCCTGACAATCAGATTCAGAAGATACTTGATCACGAGCATCTCCTCACTGTCCATGACCCGGAACAAGAGAGCTCTGAGCTGGATACAGTCATTCTCAAAGCTTTAGTCAAAGGTAAAATATTTTTCTTGTGAGAGATATGTTTAAGAAACTTGCAATTTCCTAAGGCTGCACAATTACAGGTTTCCTGACATGACAGTTGCAATAAGAAAGAGCTTTGACATTTTGAGCGCTTGATAGATTGTAAATCTGTTGACATTTTGTGTGTGTGTGTGTGTGTGTGTGTGTGTGTGTGTGTGTGGTGTGTGTGTGTGTGTGTGTATGTGTGTGTGTGTGTGTGTGTGTGTGTGTGTGTGTGTGTGTGTGTGTTATCAGCTTGCAAGAGCCAAAGTCAAGAAGCCCAAGACTTTCTGGATGAGCTGAAGCTGGCAGTGGCCTGGAACAGAGTGGACATTGCAAAGAGTGACATTTTTAATGGAGATGTGGAGTGGAAGGTGAGACAAAAGGATCTGATCAAGGTTTGACAAATTTTGGTAATTAACCTCCTAGGACCGGCCGTCCACATGTGTGGACATCACATTTTGGGTTATTTAGACCAAAATACTCAATTTTGCTGTACATGGGCCTGATATCCACTTATGAGGACATTATACTGCTACTGTTCTATCAAAATTTTAAATGAATATCCTCATTTGTGGCTCTCACTTTTCTTAAAAACAAAAATAAGGTAAAAAAAAAATAAATCTGGTAATTCTTTGTTTTTACATTCATCGCGCCCCAATATGCCCAAATATCAAAGAGAAATTAAAAATGCATGTCGTGGAAGAGTTCGGGTATTAGGAGGTTAAACCTGGCGTGCCTGCTAAAGCAACATTAAAAGGGAGTGGGAATTTTTCGAGTACAATCAGTGAGAGTCTGGGCTATTTAAGGTAATTAAAACAAAAGCTAGCCCAGTCATAAATATGCTAGTATTCTAATATGCTCACAATGATATCAATAATATATTTCATCAGATATAATATTTTTCATTATCATTATTATAGTGATAATTATAGTGACCTCTATGAGGTCGACAAAGTGCTGGTTTCATAGTCTGTATATAAAAGATGGATGCAGCTAGCGTGACATTGCCCACTGATTTGTGGACTTCTATTTTGAAGGCTGAAGCCTGACATTTTGGCAGTTGCCATGTTTTGCTGACATGAGATGTCATGACTGAAAAGTGGAGACTGAGTGAGAAACCCATGATAACTGCACATAGACAGGCAGCAACAGTCTGAATTATACCCTGCTTTGTCATCTATTTTTGTCTAAATAAAAGCAAAATGTACAAACTGAACACCATTCTCTGCTAGATATGATTTAAAAGTAGTGAATGACACCATGAAATCATCATTATAGTGTTCACTGAGATCATAAATAAAGTGGAAAGTTGGGTTGTTTTTTATACATTTTTATACAATCTGACCTCTTTTTGCAACCAGCCCACGCCCTCTACTGGCCGTTAGGAAGAAGGCAGGATTTGAAAGAATTTAAGAACCAAAGAAAAAAGTTTTGACACACTTCTATGCTGGAATTCAAACCTAGAGGCTATGTCCACCGTTTTTGTAGAGGCTGTTATCATTTTGATATATTAGCCTGCTAACATTGCCTAATTAATAGATGTTAGCAATTAACACCAACCTCAAAGCACCAGCTGTGCCAGTAGGATTCACCTTCAGAGGATCATGGATGTGTGTGCAAAATTACACAGCAGACCACCTAATAGCTACCCTCTTAGACCTCTACAGAGCATGTTTTTAAAGCTGTTTAGCATGTGCAATTTGCAATATTCACATTTGGATTAAATCTGCAAGAAAGGGATTTATTTAATAGTATTATAGTAATAACAATAAGAGTACCAATCAAGACTGGTAAGGCTCTTCATAATAACAGAAAAGAATATTTTTACAGCTGTGAAGAAGAGAGGTCATGAGTGAGTCACTGTAATAAGTCTACTGATCTTTGCAGGCTTGTGATCTTGAAGAGGTGATGATGGATGCACTGATCAATGACAAGCCAGACTTTGTACGCCTTTTCGTGGACAATGGCGTGAACCTGGGAGAGTTCCTTACCTATGGCCGTCTTCAGGAGCTTTACTGGTCTGTCTCAGAGAAAAGCCTCCTTCACAACCTGCTCCTCAAAAAGTACGAGGAGAAGCAGCTTCTGCTCGGAGCTGCCAGGACACATGGTCCACCCGGGCACCATCCTTCCGAGCAAGGAGACCGAAAACCCCGCTTCACCCTCTATGAGGTCGCCAAAGTGCTGAAAGACTTTCTCCACGACTCTTGTAAAGGCTTTTACCAGAAGACTCCCACGGTAGGTGATGTACTCTTCTTTGAAAGTTCCAAACAAACAATATGTTGTCTGTGTTAGGTTTCTCATCCCTTTTGGTCTGCCAACTTAAAATGAAGCAGTGTCTCTGTGAAACCACATAAAGGTTTGCATTCATCTATGAGATGTGAGCAGCGAGTGAGAGAGTTTACCTCTAACCTTCTCAGACAGCTATATTCGCAACATTTAAGCGCCTGAAAGATGCAATGAACCAGAAAATATATAGACTTTGTGGTAAACTGACTTCCCGGAAGACAGTGAATCTTTAATGGCGACTTTAATAGCAACTCATCCTACCTACACTAATAGCAGAAAAAAAACATCAAATCTACCCAATAAAGCCAAAGTGCTCTTTTCAGGGCAGCCAGCCCTTTTGTTACTCCTATCACATCATCATTTTTTTCTCTCTAACTGCAGCAAAAAAGAGATGGATCATCGTGGAAAATCACACCTGCTGCTGCACTCTAAAAATCCCTATATTTTCTCTAATTATGCTGTCAGGTTTTGTGCTACTCACTGTTGTAAGGCTGGTGGTCTCAAAGAAAAACACAGCCACTGTCAAATGTTTTCTTGGCTGAAGGTCTGCTTGGCTAAATTCATTACATATTCCAGTTGACAACCAAGCAGCTATGACTTCTTTACAGCGGAGTGAGGGAAATTGGTTTTGCGGTAAAAGGACTGTCGTAGATTGACTTATGTAAGCACTGCCTGTTCTGTAAACTGTGTGCGGCTGCCTCATCTACTATACATATTAAATACATTAAGCGTTCTCTCTGTGTGCTCCAGGAGAAGCCAGCAAAGGGTCGACTGTTCCACACCCAGAAGAATCTGGCTGAGTTAGAGGAGCGCTGCGAGCATCCTTGGCGAGATCTCTTCCTCTGGGCGGCCCTTCAGAACCGGCAGCAGATGGCTAACTACTTTTGGGCCATGGTCAGTCTTGTCAGCTTCTTTAGTCGGTTGAGCTACAGCTCGTACTATCTCAGCACTGTGCGGCTCGATAAATAACTAAATGTGCCTGGCTTTGGAAAATTCTACTCAAAGCAAAGTGAAGTGAGCAGAATTATGCTGTGATAGTTTGCGTTCTGCTTTGGGTGTGATGAGCGATGCGGGCCAGCCCAGTGCAGGTGTAGGTCAGTCCTGCCATATGAAAATGTCACTCGAGATAAAAAAAATAAAAAAAAAGAGCCCGGCAAACGGCATATTTATCAAGAACTGAGGTGAACTAAAAAGCTATCTTATCTCCAAGAACATTATTCAAATGAAGGTCAGGCTGCTTGCTGAGGCAGCCAACCAGCGGTGAGCCAGCGCATGCGTGTCTAACGTCCTGATGAAGGTAATGAGACATATAGGCCGACAAGGGATTGATGTCCCACGAATAGTTTAAATGACACTCATCAATGATAATTGCTCTTTGTTTTCAACGCCTTTTCAAAGCACCTTTCATTTCTTTATTGCCATTCCCTGAACTGAGGCAACCAATTGTTGTAATCTCACACGCGGTCATCATTATGTGCTCTTTTCCAACGTCTTATATTTCAAACATTATCTGAAATTATGGTAATTGCGTTCAGTGTGTGCCCATCCCCCACCTCTAGCGCCTCAGCACTCAGGCTCTGGCCTGGACTCTGGCATTCGTAATTTGATTGTTTGAAGTATTTCCCACGTTGAAGGCGACAATTATTCTTGCAGGCTAGCAAAATCTCACATATTTATTATGTGCATATACAGTATGTCGACCCAGGAGCGTGAAGAAAATGCAGCATAATCAACACAAATCATTGATCCTTTAAACAAAAATGGGAAGAGCCCTCTGCTGCAATATGCTGCTCTTCCTCACAGTCCAGTGCATGAGTATTAGCATTACTGGTGACTTTAAACTGACCATAGATCTGCTTGTAAGCATGAATATCTCTTGAACATCTCATAAATATGTATTTTCGTTAACCCTGGACTGATGTTCCATCCAGCATCTACCCAGCCTTCCAACCATTGTCAGCCTATTATACTCCAAGCTATCAGAGCCCTAGTTGGATAAGTGGTTAAGAAAAGAGTAAATCTGGCTGTTATCTATATGTAATACTTGCTTTCCTTGTCTTCCCAAGACCTGTAAGAAGTTAGAAAATGTCCATTTTTATATGTACAACAGACAGGTTTATAATGTCAGCTATATATAGATATGTTGTAAAGAATCTTTCAGTTCATGAAACATTCAGGGGAACTATCTAGCCACACTGTGAAAACAGTCATTCTTTATTTATACTTTACACAATCCATGCAGTTCATATACAACCTAAAGCAAGCAGCTTCCTTCTGGGTTATTCAATAGATCAAACTACAGAGACTGAAAATAAAACAACCATTCAAATATGACTTACATTCAAGGTCAGATGGTTAAAGCCCTTCAAGAGCCTGCTATCATACCCAAACTGGCTGACTAGTTATTTTGGCCGATAACAACGGTGTCACACGACATGTAAGGAAGTGCCTTTGAATGCAGGCTTTAGAAATCACAGGGGGGAAAAAACCTACAAGTTGTATCTGTAGTAGCCCCATGCACACAATAGAAGCATTTAGATGCAAAAGATGCAGCTCTCAAAAATTCAAATCCCCCTTTCAGACCCATTTCTTGGATACAGCTCTCTTGTAATCTTTCAGGGCCCTGAGGCGGTTGCGGCAGCCCTGGCGGGTTGTAAGATTCTGAAAGAGATGGCACGACTGGAATCCGAGGCTGAGTCCGCACGTAGCATGAAGGAGGCCAAGTATGAGCAGTTTGCCCTTGGTGAGTACATAAACTGTTTAATGACAGGAGCTGATAATGCAATGGTCAAACATAGCAAGAGGTAAAACCTCTAACTTCAAGCCAGCAGTGTTTTGCTTTGCTTTTTTTTGTTATCCACAAGCACAAACAGATTCCACTTGAGGGACTAAAATATAAATCTGGATGTAATCTAACTGAGCGGTTGACACTGTGTAACTACTGTTCTTATTGTGGCAGATGTCTTTGGAGAGTGTTACTCCAACAGTGAAGACAGGGCTTATGCTTTGTTAGTGAGGAGAACACACTGCTGGAGCAAATCTACAGTCCTTAACTTGGCAACTGAGGCAGATGCCAAATCCTTCTTTGCCCACGACGGAGTTCAGGTGACAAGAAGACACATGCGGTGCTCCGTTTTAAAATTTATATGTTTCATCCTACAGATTAAGTATTGGGAAGCCGACAGATAAGTCTGGTTCTTTGCCGCCATCTCTGCTGATATACTGGGTTTCCATGGCAGTTATTAAACATTTCCCTCTGCACTGTATGCCATTAGATACTTAGAAGCCACTCTATGCACAGTTTTGTCTAAATATGCCTCCAACAGACGCCCTTGCTATTAGAAAGTCATCAGTGAGAGTTAATTGGTACTCAGTGTCAGTAGGGAAGGTTAGCACATGGGAATGATATATTTTATTCATAGCACACAGTCGGAATTACCTTTTTAATGGGATGCCGTTAATTACGATCCAGTACATGTGTAATGTTTCAAGAGAAAGTGGGTTTCCCTGGTCTCAGGCAAAGTAGCTGCTGGTTAATGAAATGGTTCGACTGGGGGAGAAGCATTTTGATTTTGATTTTTTTTTCTGACTGTCTATCTGAGATAACTCCACATATGTTTCTTCTGTGAATATGGGCTCCAAGCTGCAAAGTAGAAATTTTGTAAGGCCTCTGGTGTCCCCTTGTGGTAACCTGAATTTACACACTCTGCTAGTTTGCCAATGTTGTATGACAAACTGATTCTGTTCTGCAGGCTCTGCTCACAAAGATTTGGTGGGGGTCTATGAAAACAGACACAGCCATCTCCAAACTCGTGGCGTCTTTCTTCTGTGCACCGCTCATATGGACCAACCTCATAAAGTTCAGGTGATCAGTCTGTTGATGAACTCCACCTTTTGTCTTTGCCATGCTGATGAGCTGATGAGCTCTGTGTCACTCGGTTGTGTGCATTATCTGGGTTTTGGGGTTTTCTTTTCAGTGATGAAGAACTTGACAATCGTAATGCTGGCAAGCAGTTTGTGGAGCTGGACAGTCTGGACACAGAAAAGGCTTTACTTCTAAGTGATGATGATGATGACCCTCTGTGAGTTTGCTCTCTTGTTTAATTTAGAGTTCATAGACTTCAGCGTGAGTGCACACTGATCTGCTTTTTGCCAAAATGATTAAGCTAAAAATGTAATTTCATTTGTTGTTTATATTTTCTATTCAGCAAGACTGTTTTTTGTGACAACAAATTAGCTACTTAATGTTTTCTTTCCATTTTTGATTATTTGCTTTTAACTCGATTTACTTTGAGTTCGTTTCCAGAGTGGATTTTCTTGTTTCAGTTGGTTTTTACTGTTTTAAAAATCTTTATTACTTCAAGCGTTAGGTCTACACTTTTTAATTTTTACTATATGAAGGGTAATTTGTCAGAGACAAAATTTAAGGAAAGTCAGTACAGGTATTGCATTAAAAGCACTTAACTATTTGAATGCTGTTGACTTACAGACTTGTAGACATCCAGAGTGTCGATACACAGATCCATCAATACTTCACAATGTTTGTTTGTTTTTTCACATCTAATTGTGGTTTCGTTTTTAGTTTAGTTTTAGTTATCTATAATAACCTTGGTGCTAAAACCCTATAAACACAAATGAGCTGCAGTGTGAATAATAATGTGAATAACATGATGCCCGTCATACCATCTCAGACTTATAACATCAGTAAACATGTTTGAATTTTAGAATCCTGGCTGTTAATCTCCATTTAAATGATTATATCTATAGTTAGATATAGATTTGTCTTTGCATATTAATGTGGTGTCTTTTTTTTCCAGGGACTCTTCACCTGGAGGTCAAGCAGATCAGAGCTGCGCCTCTGTTTGGTGGCGTTTCTTACTGCGTCGCTGGCGTCGCTTTTGGAGCGCTCCTGTAACGGTGTTCCTCGGCAATGTCATCATGTATTTTGCTTTCCTCTGCCTCTTCACTTACGTGCTGCTGCTAGACTTCCGCCCGCCGCCGCCTCTTGGCCCTGGAGCGCCAGAGATAATGCTCTACTTCTGGGTCTTCACAATGGTGCTGGAGGAACTTCGACAGGTGATCATCTAATCATGCTGGCACCTATATAATGCCAAGAATCAGCATCTTTCTCTCTAGGCAGCGTGACACCTTTTTCGAAGCAGTGGCATTTCTATTAGACGTGTTAGGCTCTGACACATCTGAGTAGGAGGTGATGTGAATCGCTACAGTGAGCTCATTGTCTCAGGGGTTTTAAGCCTTTCGCCTCTTTAGTGAGCCAGGTCAGACAAGCATGATCCCTTATTGCACCGATCCCACTGAGCTCTCTTCCCTTGGGCACAAAAATGCCCAGATGACAAAGTCCTTCACCACTCTATTTTTCAATGTGTAATTCAGACAGAATTATGGTAGAGATTTCCAAAATAAGAACCACACTGCTGCAGGCAACTCTGGCATGCTACCATGCCCAGCAGGGCCCCTGTGCATTCAAAAGGATGGCTCTAAGGTGCATGCCTTTTCCTAAATGAAGATAACGCCACAGGGGCCTTGTTATCATACTTTTTTACGAAAAAAAAAAACTTCAACAGCCTAGTTCTACCAGCTTTTTAATAAACGAGTAGTCCCAGTCTGCTCCCTCTCATCAAGTTATGCCAGTAGTGCATTTTGCTCATTTTACCATCTTTTACTGCAGATTTATTAAAATAATTAATTGCTGAGTGTAAGCTAGGTTTACCTTAAGTGTTTAAATCTACAGCTTGTACCTGGGGACAGTTGAAAGTATTTGGATGTCATGTAGACATCTGTCGAATGGCACTCAAAGCTTTCGCACAGCAGACTGTGACTTTGTGAAAGCACACATGCTGCCCTCAGCTTATTGACAAACCAACTGCGCCATCAAGGGACCAAGCAGTGGTTCTTAAGGCACGTTCAGGTAACCTGTTCAAGTCACAGGAGAAAAGTCAACCTCACACTCTAAGTATAAAAGACATTTGACAGGACTCACCATTTGGTTGCACTGAAGGTCCCCTCTAAAGCAGCAGGGCTGTGGGGACTGCTGTGCAATACCACACATTTAGGCATCAAGCTGATGCCAGGTAAAAGACCACTATTAATGATACAAATACCAATGCTTTTAAACTACAAAGGCAGCCTGTGTAGGGGACAGCAGTCTATCATGATTTATGACATGAATCATCATCAATTTGAAAATTCTGAACACATTTTAATGAGCACTAAATCACTGTGATTAGTATTTTCCACAATAATTAGCTAACACAACAAAACACACCTTTCAGCTTTTCAGAGTGAAGTATCGATCTGATACCAATACCAGTGTTGGTATCAGTGCTATTGATTTTGGGAACGACCTTTAGCTGTGGGCCCTGGAGGTGTGTTTGAATGTCATTCTAGTATTTGATCTGAAAGAAGTCAAGACAGGCTCAGATTTTCTGATGAACAGTTTTACAAAAATATTCACATGTAAAAAAAAAGATATATCTCTTTATTAATCTTTATGACAACAGAGCTTCTTCACTGATGAAGAGATGAGCATCTTAAAGAAGTTTAAACTCTACGTGGAGGACAACTGGAACAAGTGTGACATGGTTGCCATCTCACTCTTTGTTGTTGGGGTCTCCTGCAGGTATATTAAATCTAAATCTAATGTGAGCACTTAGGCTTTAGTATGTGTCGTGGTGATGATTGTGGCTAAAGCATCAAAATAAGTAAGCAAGTGGTTAAATGAATGAATGGCTGAATGCAAAAAAAGAAAAGTGTTGCTACAGGGTGTGATTTATTTTTTTTCTCTCAGGATGGTGAATGACACCTACGAGGCGGGAAGGACAGTTCTGGCCATTGATTTCATGGTGTTTACTCTGCGTCTCATCCATATCTTTGCCATTCACAAGCAGCTGGGACCCAAGATCATCATTGTGGAAAGAATGGTGACCAAAACAAAATCATGACTTTAAGTTGTGCTCTTGCTAATAGAAGAAGACGCCTAAAAAGAAGATTAAGACGGAGATCTTTTGCTCTCTCTCTTTTTTTTTTTAAACAGATGAAGGATGTCTTCTTCTTCCTGTTTTTCTTGTGTGTCTGGCTCATTGCATACGGAGTTGCCACCCAGGCTCTCCTCCACCCCAATGACCAAAGGATTGACTGGGTGTTTCGCAGAGCGCTGTATCGTCCCTACCTGCACATTTTCGGCCAGATCCCTTTGGAGGAGATAGACAGTACGATACATCCTTTAACTGTTTGTGAAAAAATGCAAAATACTTTGCCAAGATGTGTAATTAATGTTTTGCTTATGCTTGCCATTGGGGTTGTAATCTGTTTGCTCTAGATTTTTTTGTTCCCCCCCTTCTAATCTTATCGTATCTTGTTCTTACATTTAATGGAGTGCAGCTGCTCGCATGCCTGAAATGAACTGCACCGATGACTCAGACGAGATTATCGAGGGCCTGCGGCCACCATGTCCCAACGTCTATGCCAACTGGCTGGTCATCCTGCTGCTGGTTATCTACCTCCTCGTCACCAATGTCCTGCTGATGAACCTCCTCATTGCCATGTTCAGGTCAGGGGATGAGAATCCAGGAAAACGTGCATACATTTGCCCGTCTGATCACATGAGATGAGCCAGTGGCTTATTGAAATTATAAAATTAAAAAGAAAAACACACATACACACACACAAACTGGTTTACTTGCTTCTTCCCCCATTTGCAGCTACACATTCCAGGTAGTGCAAGGCAACACAGACATCTTCTGGAAGTTCCAAAGATATAACCTGATCGTGGAATACCACAGCCGTCCAGCACTGGCCCCACCCTTCATCATCATCAGCCACCTCTCTCAGCTCTTCCTCAGCCTAATTAAGCAGCCTGAGTCCAAGCAGGAACGTCTTGGTATGAAGGCTCTATATACACTTTTCCATTAGGGGCTATTAAGCCGTTATTTGAAACAGACATTGAAAGAGTCCTCTGCAGCTTAGGTGGCTAAACAAAAAACAAATCAAACACAGGCAAACACATGGCGGGCTTATCTTTGTCTCTCACCCACCACGTGGAACTTTTTTAGGTTAATTGGTTACTCACTTCCTTACTTTTGTGTGTTGCCAGAGAGGGAGTTGCCAGCGGGGCTGGACCAGAGGCTGATAACATGGGAGACGGTGCAGAAAGAGAATTACCTGGCCAAAGTAGAGCGTCAGCACTGGGAAAGCAGCGAGGAGAGACTCAAGAGCACCTCCTCAAAGTAACGGTCACTTTATAATTCGTTTGCAAAAGTTTGCATGCTATTCTCAAAGCAATTAAGTTAGAAACTCTTGTAGTACCTGCACAGCACCAATCTGTGTCTCTTAAGGTTAAAATGTTCTAAATGACTTTGTTTGGGATCAAGGGTTCAAAGCTTGCTGAAGACTGTCGGTGGATTTAAGGACCAAGAGAGACGACTGGCATCCATGGAAAGTCAGGTAAACGGTATACTGAGCTCAATAGCACCATCCAGGGATGCATTTTCCCAAATCTATTTCAAGTTTAAAGTCTAGTGCAGAAGTAGTTTATAAGTTAAAAATAGTGACCTCTGACCTTCTTTTCCTCCAGGTCAGATATTGCGGAGAGGTGCTGTCCTGGATGGCTGAGTGCTTTGCTCAGAGCACACTCAAATGTGGGAAGGACGCGCCGAGAGTTCCGAGTGAGTCAAAAATCAGCGAGAAGAATGACAGTAATTATGCAAAAAGATTCAAACACAGTGCTTTGTGCCTTTTCAATGTAGTCCAAGCAATAATATGTCATTCTCTAGCGTCTCTTGCAGGCGACAAGACAGATGGCGCCGCTGCAGATGCATCTCAAAGTCAAACAGCGAATGAAGCGAAGCAAGAAGAAAAAACAAAACCGGGACATCCAGGATATGGGGCCAACAAAAAATTTCCTTACATTGATGAATAAAAGTGATAATGGCTGCATACAGACAGCTGAAGAATATTGAGAGAGATGAAAAATATTTTTTTTAATCCAATAAGGGGAAAATGGAATTTAAATGAGTGAAATGGTGTTTTATTTATAAAAATATTGGGTCCTTTAGAGGAAAACATTAAATGTTCCACTGTGGTAACTGTGTTTAGGAGGACAGCTTTCATTAGCTAAAACATTAATCCAATCAATTATTAGCATTTCATGGAGCGTGACAAAGTTGCATTCACATTTACACTTCAATTATTTAAGGTTACATTAGTTAGGAGTTTGAGTAAAAGGCACTTTGAGTAATCCGTCCATCATTTTTGCTGTTTGTGCCACAGTGATGCCTCAAAAATCAGGATGGGCAGAAGCAGTGACGCTTGAAACGCGGCATTTGGAATGGACAATAAGTTTTTGCTGATTCTGTTCCACACAATGACCTTTCTCACAAGATACTCCCGTGGAGCTTTTGTGTTACTGCTGTGTTTCTCATCAAAATTCTCTGTGTGAGATCCTGGCGTGCCCAAATGTGGCAAATGCATCACTTTCTTTGTAAAACATCTGAAAGGGAATTTTGAACGTTACCACCCCCAAATGCCCTTTGTCCTACAGTGGAACAGAGAGATTGTTCCTGATTAAAAGGAAAAATGGCCAGGGTTAGTTCACTGCTTGGAATTCAGTTTCACCTGTTCAGGTTCATTTGCATCTATTCTAAGATAAATAGCACCTCCAGTGTTTCCAATATTTGCTGTTTACCCGGAATATACAAGGATGGAGGGGGGGGGGGGCTCTAGGCTTCCATTGGTTTGGCTTGCCAAGGTGAGTCAGTAGACTAAGCACACATAAGGGGAATGAAAATAAGATTGTTTCTATGCTAATAATTATAAGCGTTTAACTTTCCATTGTTACCTAGTGACCCTTTTTTTTGGTTCATGATTCAATATTAGATAACATATGATCAACTGTGGTTACAACAAATTCCCACAACTGATTCTAGGGATTTAAGCCTGTTCACTTAGGTTTTTATAAAATGCTCAATTGTCATTTTCATCCTCTGCTGTTAAGAATATGCAATACATTATCCACATATCCTGTACACACTTGCAGATGACAAGGGAAAAAAAACCCAAAAAAGGCATCTGCTCTTTAAACAATGATTGAAAAATGACACTAGAGGTAAAAAATTAAAAACAAAAAAACAAAAAAAAAAAACCCAAAACCAAAAAGTCCTCATGCTGTGTTCTACAACAATAGCAAGAGAGCCTGTGGTGCTGAGCTGATTAGATACAGTTCACATGGTCTTAACAGCGTAGATTTAAAGTACATATCTCTCATAATGATCTAAATGAATTCTGCTGTACATCTATTACAACAAACATTGAGATCTTGAAAAAAAAAATAAATACTAGCTATTTTAAAAGGTTGTTAATGTCAATTTTTCTTCCACTTGATCACCATCAATTAAAAATGAACTTTACTGAATTACTAAAACACTGGTAGAGGTACCATAAATGTCAGCTTGTGGAATATCCCACACAAAGGAGTGCGACTTTAGTCTCTTGAAGCAAATGCCTCAGGTCCTCTTGGCTGTACAGCTGGTCCCTCACGGTGAAGGATATTGTCAAAACGCGGCGTCACCTCGCAGCGGATGAGCAGAGTGTCGTCTTTAACATAAGCTCTCTGACTCAGCTGAGACAGGTGCATGAAGGTGACATAGCCAAATCCTTTGGGATTGCGCTGAATTGTCGGCTTCTGGAAGGCCTGTAGATCTGGTTTAGTCTCCATTGCCTCCATGTGATGCTGACCCTCAGGGCCCTGGTCTAGGATGGCGAGCCGGATGGTTCCTTGAAATGGCCAGGTAAGCTGCCCATCAAAAGCTCCTTGCATGGTGTGCACAAATAGGGAGATGTAGTTGGAGCAGCGAGGGGCACTGGGGGTCTGCAGGTGTAAGCGCAGGCACAGCTTGTAGCCTGGGCGGCCTGTGTAAAAGCCGGGGCTGTGCTCAACCACTGGCTGGCCCGCTTCTTGGTTCCGCAGGTGGACTGAAAAACCTTTGAGGCGCCAGATGAAGATACCATTGCAATGTTGGGCCTCCAGCTCTTTTACTGTATCCTCCAGCATGGACACTCTACGCCTAAGCTCTGCTAGCTGGCCTGCCTGTGAAAATGAAATGGGAAAATATTTGAGAGAAAATGAAAGAATAGAGGCTTTGAGACTAATCTAAAAGAACAAAAACAAACCAAAACCCCAAAAGGTCAAAATACACTTGGATATCACTTACTTGGGTGTCTTTTAAGATGATGAGTTCACGGAGCTGGTGATCCTGCTTCACCAATCGTCCATCCATCTCACGGAGCCTCTGCTGCATCTCTTCACTAGACAGACCTGGAGCACAACTGCTACTGCAGCTCAGAGCTGCAGCCCCTCTGGGCCCACTACAGGCCGGTACTGATGGTGCAGCTCCTTGATCCTCAGAGGAAAGTGAAGGTCCTAAAGTCCTCAGGGGTTTGGGTGTAGTACCATTGAGGCTAAGGCCACGCAGAAATTCAGCCATGTAGCGCATATGCATCTGTGTGAACTCCTGCATGTGCTGAGCCAGGTTGTGGCGCTGCATCTGCAGAGTCAAACCAGCTTTAAAACTTGTCTCGCAAACTACAAAACCTATTAACCCAGACCTTCCCAAAGTGTGGGGCCCACCCCCTAGGGGGGGCGCAGAGCCATTGCAGGGGGGGCGCGGTATGAAAAGGGGGGAAAAAACAAAATGCTTGGACACTGCTAGCACGGGGCACCCACACAAACGCAAAGCAGGAGATGAAGCATCGCTGAATACGTTTCCAAACCAACTTCATTCTAAGCCAAAGACTAGAAAATATCCCTTTGGCTTCACCTGCACAATTGCCAAGGTAGGTCTCCCCTGCAGAATTGGTTTACCTTGTTGGGAGCAGCGCTGTTTAAATCACGGACAAACAGTATCCCACATTTTTGATTTTTAGTTCACAAACACTTCTTGTAATGACTAACTACTCCTGACATTTTGGAGATGTTAGATCTTTATACAGTAAAGTTACAGTGGGATACAAATAATATCAGGCTGATCCTGCCACAGTTTGTTCCCTCGGTTCAAATCACGGACAAACAGGATCCCACAGTTGTTTATGTTTTTCAACCCATTTTGCACAGAGAGGCATTTTTTGAAAAATGTATTGATAGCAATGTTGAATATTATTACACAGGAAAAAAACAACTACATGCAATAATTACACTGTGACGCCTCTGCCTTTCTAAATAGTGGGACAGTAACTGTGTGTTTATATGTAAGCTTGTAAAACCTGAAGATAGAGACAAAATACTGTTTATCTGCCATTCTGCAATTCATCACATGTAAACAATAACGTGGCGCACAGCTGACGTGAAAAAAGGCACATACCTTTGACGTGATGAACTCTGTATTCCTTGTCCACACGTAAACGCAAAAAAGGAGTTTTAAAAATCTCCGTTTTCGGTGATTCGAAACGCCGTTTACGTGTGGACCAAACAGCTGCGTTTTTTTTAAAAAAAATACCGGTGTAAGTGCGGCATAGTGTAAAAGAGTCAGTAGTTTATTTCCTTACTACCTGTAATTTATTGCAGATTACTTGTATTTGCTCAATTGTTTACTAAATGTTTGAGGTGTGAAATAAACCGCAACGGAGCAAAATATGGGTGTGTGTGGTTGGAGGATGTGTTTATGCCTCCCTGTGCGCGCGCGGGGGGGCATTTCTCTTGTAAAACAAAGGGGGGGCCAGCAAAAAAGTTTGGGAACCACTGTATTAACCTATTAAGAATGTGCTGTATGAGAGCTGAAAGAATGGAAATCTAGAAATTGATCACCTACCCTTTCTTTACATCCAAAGATGCTAAAGTTACAGGCAATAGGTGCTTTTGGGCAATCTGTGTCACAGTGAGACTCCATCTGGGGGGGAAAAAAGAAAAAGAAAAAAAAATTTCATTAGTAAATTAGCTTCAGTCATATTCAGATTGGGTTTTTTTAAGCATTTCAAAGAGATTGCTTATTGCTGAAAATGACAGACAAAGGGAACAAGGGAACAGGAATAACAGACAACAATTAAAACAGAAGTGGTTCCACTTTCTACTGCTGAAATGGTGACTGTCCTTCTCCACTGTAACATGTGATGTGACCGATTTTGGAATGGTTCCCCATTGCTTAAACAAGAGAGTAGTTCCTGTTTTGATCACCACTTCCTAACCCTTCATTCACCTGAGGCCTCTTCTTCATGGCAGACTCTTAAGAGACTCACCTGGTCTCTGACGAGCTCCAGCTCACAGTACTGACACTTCACACTGGCAAAGGGACACTGTTGCTGATGAAGCTGAAGGAGCAAATGAAAGGAGACTATTAGGAAAATTTCCTCACAGACACACAAAACATCACTGTAACTCTGCCATGAGATTTGTTCTTGAAAAGTGATTCAATGGTACCTCTCTCTCCTCATAAAGAAAGCATGCCACACAGTCTGGACATGACATGGGTCTTTTTTGGCACTGAACAGTTATGTGCTCTTCTAGGTGGCTCTTTTTCACAGACTGCTGGCACTGTGGACAAGGCACAGTGGCAAACTCACAATGCACCAAATGATCCTGGAAGTTAAAACAATAAAATGAAAAAATAAATACAAAAAAAATTTAATTTGCTTCTGTAGCAGGAAAGTCTTCATCTTTAATCATATAGCACATTTAAAAGACATCAAGTGTCGGCCAAAGTGCTGAACAAAGGGATAATATAATCAAATAAAAAGAATTAAAATAGATACGATGAAAACAGAAAACATTGTGAGACATCAATATATGTTTGTAAAGATATGTGTACATGCAAATATGCACATACATATACAAAAATGTACATTCAGCACACATACATGAACATAAAACATGTATACGTATACACATGCAAACATCATCCAATGAGATAAAAGACCAGAATAGCTAAAACAGAATAAAAGTGGTGTCAGGAAAGCTGTAACAAGTCCTCTGTCCACACCAGAGAAAGACACAAACTGGGGGATGAACTGTTATTTATGTGCCAAGAAAAAAAAAAAAGTGTAGTTGTGGTGGTGTTCTCTGAAGTCATTTTATTGTGTTGACAAACTTGTTCTACAGCAATCTCAAAAATGTCTACAAGCCGCTGACACCTGTCCATTTTATGAAGTTGGCAGTCAGCAGTAGTGAGAGGTTTATAATCACACTGACAAGCAAAAAGCTTAAAAAAAAAAAAAAAAAAAAAACCAAAACAAAGTGATCACAATCATAAATATGTCTTTGAAATGTTCACGTGCAAAGCAACTGCATCTTCAAACACCAGCCTGTTAACATCCCTGACTTCGTGTTCTGTGTTTGGATCAAACATGTCTGTCACAGTTTTTTTTTACCTCCAAATGCCGGAGCTCCATCTTGTCGGCACAGCCCAAGTTTGGACAGCGAACAGTTAGCGACAGAATTTCCCTTTTGGCAAAGTTATCAGGGAACAGTTGGTCTTCTGACAACATTTCGTTGTCCACTGGGCACCTCTGTCCCGTATCACTGATTTGCAAGAAGAAGAACAGAAATCATTGGTCCCTTTTGTCTACTTCACTATTAAAACAAGTACCAGTGAATTTTTGGATTATTCGGAAGCCTTTCATTTCTAAATCATTACTCCGTAATTTGCCAGATTGCCCTGATGCTAATAAAGAACTAACAAGGATTCAAAACTGGCCTGTGAAACTTGTGATGATAAATGAAATAGAAACCTAAGTGCTCATTGCTGATTAAAAAGATGCACAATAGCATACCGGATGGATTTCTCAATGCAGCTCTTGCAGAAGCGGTGACCACAGCGTGTTTGAATGGCGTTCCTCAAAGCCATGAGACAAATGGGGCACTCGTATTTACTCTCCAGCGGTGGATCAAACTCCACATCGTAGCCCTGCAGGGGGGCAGCCTGAAAGCTGCTGCTGCTCATGAAGGCACTAGGGTTCTCTGAAGGGCTAAGAATGGACTCCTGTTCTTTTTCCAGCATAGCCAGAGCACAGTCAGACAGCACTCCACCAACAGCTCCATCATAGCTGTCCTCCTCTAAACTCCCCTTATTGCTTTCACAGCAGGCCATTTGTAGCAGGTGGCAAAGTCTGAAAGAGGTAAGGAAGCGTGAAATA